TTGGATAAGCTTTTGCTGGTGAGGTGCAAGGGTATTACCGATATTGGAATTGGATGTATTGCTGTTGGGTGTAAGAAGCTGAGACTGCTGAACTTGAGATGGTGTTTGGGGGTTGGAGACCTTGGGGTTGGCCTGATTGCTGTCAAGTGCAAGGAGATTCGTAGTTTGGATCTCTCTTATTTGCCGGTAATGAGCGTTTTTTCTCTACTCTTTTTGCCCGAAGCTGCATTTATTCGTTACATACTTGTGTTGTGTTTTCATGTTTGGAACTTACTACTCTTGGATTATATATAGTCGAAATGTATGGCCATATAGCTTGGCCAAACTTGAGATGGAAATATTATAATAGAAGTCTGAACATGTTGTATTGTGTAGGAGTCCCTAGAGAGAATGGCAGGTTAATAAAATCTTAAGTTGAACTGATTTGTTTTGTGTAGTTTTACTCAAGCATCTTATAGCTTAGTTGAGTGAGTATTATCCAATCTTAAAATTCATTACTATGTAATTTGGAGACGCCAATAGAAGATACATCAAAGAGAAAGTGTTAAGATGTTTTTGGAATGCTCAATGTAGCCATTAATTTCTGTTTCGTTCTTGGTTTGCAGATATCAAACAAATGCTTATCGTCAATCTCGAAGCTGCAAAATCTTGAAGATTTGGTTCTTGAAGGATGCTATGGTATTGATGATGACAGTCTCATAGCTCTCAAACAAGGATGCAAATCATTGGAGGTATTATTATTATTATTATTCTCTTTTAATATATTTCTTGTGAAAGGGGAGAGGAACTGAAGTCTTTTCATGTTTCCATTGACAGAGACTCAATATGTCAAGCTGCCAGAACGTTAGCCCAGTGGGTTTATCTTCATTGACATGCAGTGCCGGATGTCTTCGACAACTTACCTTGTCATATGGATCTCCCGTAAGCCGTCTTAAACATTCCGACCCACCCTTCACGACAAAATTTCTTTCTTTCCTTTTTTAAAATTTATTCAAAATTACATTTGGTGAACAGGTAACTCTTGCTCTTGGTGAGAGCTTACAGAAGCTTTCCATGTTGCAGTCCATCAAACTGGATGGTTGTCAGGTGACGTGCTCCGGACTAAGGGCCATTGGGAACTGGTGTGTGTCACTAAGGGAGCTTAGCTTGAGTAAATGCCCCGGCGTTACGGACGAGGGCCTTTGCTCTGTCGTTTCAAAGCACAGAGAACTGGTGAAGTTGGACATTACCTGTTGCCGCAACATCACTCATCTCTCCATTTCCAACATTACAAATTCGTGCCCCTCGCTGACTTCCCTTCGGATGGAGTCTTGCACCCTTGTGCCAAGGGAAGCTTTTGTTTTGATAGGACAACGGTGCCGGTCTCTAGAGGAACTTGATGTTACAGACAATGAAATTGACAATGAAGGTCAGTCACCCTCCCCATTCCCTCATTCCTTGAATGTCTTCTTCTTCTTCTTTGAGCTCTGGCTCAATGATTGTTTTGCTCTATGTATGTACTAAAAACAGGCCTAGAATCCGTTTCCAAGTGTTCGGGTCTGTCTTCATTAAAATTAGGCATCTGTCTGAACATAACTGACAAGGGGCTTATCCACATCGGCACGTCTTGTCCGAATCTCAAGGAGCTTGACTTATACAGGTCCACTGCATGATTTTTGAAAACCAAAACGTTCGCCTTGATTATGTTTTCTGAAGTAGAAAAAAAATTGGTTTGCAACAGGTCATCTGGAGTTACGGATTCGGGTATTTACGCAATTGCCCGCGGCTGCCTCAGCCTTGAGACAATTAACATAGCATATTGCAACCAAATTACTGATCACTCCTTTGTGTCACTGTCCAAGTGCTTGAAGCTAAACACACTTGAGAGTAGAGGGTGCCCTCTTCTCACATCTTCAGGTCTAGCTGCAGTTGCGGTTGCTTGCAGGCTACTAGCTAAGCTAGACGTCAAGAAGTGCCACAATATAGATGATTCCGGAATGATTTCCCTCGCCCAATTCTCCCAAAATCTCAGACACGTAAGTATATGTACCCGTTGTTCTTAAAACCTGAACTTAAAAGTCTGTTCTCTTCAACTTGTTCTTATTGGAATCGGTTCACTTTAGATCAGAAACAATTTTAAATATTACGGAGTACTACATTTAGATCAAACCAAATCAGATCAGAACTTATTCCAATGAGATCAGGATCATTCAAATCTGGTGAGGAAGACAAGCCCTAACTTGGTAAAATTTAACCGGCTGGATCTTTGTGTTTGTTGTTTTTACAGATAAATTTGTCCTACACATCGGTCACGGATTTGGGGCTTTTGGCTCTTGCCAGCATAAGTTGTCTGCAGAGCATGACCGCGATCCACATGAAGGGGCTGAGTCTTAGTGGCCTCGCGGCTTCTCTTCTTGCGTGTGGTGGACTGACCAATGTGAAACTTTCTTCGTTTTTTAAATCCCTTTTTCCACAGCCTCTCATTGAACATTTACAAGTCCGCGGCTGTGCTTTCCGGTGGAGTGACAAAGTGTTTCGGGTATGCTTTCGATCACATTTTTTCCCTTTCTATTTAGCGAAATCATGGGTGGCCCGGAGTGTGTACAAAGTGGCTGACCGCACAGAGCCCCTAAAATTTTAGGGCCCTATATCTTTAAATTCGGCACTAATTCTAAAGCATAAACACTCTAAAATAATAAAATATAGCCCAAAATGTAAATTTTGGACCGGACCATTTTTATTTTTATTTTTTCACGGCCGGCCCTGAGCGAAATGAAAAGCCCTCAAGTCTAACTCTCCTACCTTTTTGGCTTGAGTAACAGGCGGAATTGGACGTGAAATGTTGGAAACTCCAAACGGACGACGACTCTTGAGTTAGCCATTCTTTAAAGGGTTAATGTATACTGCTTTCGTCCCAGAGTGTATTGTTTTAGTCTGACATTTATGTGTCGAACTTGACAAACTTTGATTATGGATAAAATAAAAATTGCATTGTATTTTAGTGGGAAAAGTTGTATTGTACGGAGTACGTTAGAGAATACACAACTTATGGTCCTATAGAGATATATGGATAAGCAAGAAAAGAATGTGGTTGCGTGCCATTTAAAACGGTCCAGCTAAAAATTGTGTTGCTTCGCTGTATGGAGAATATTGGATTGTGGATTAAGGAGTCATTAAACTTTGTGGTTGTGCATACAATATAATGACTTGGCATCACTGACCTTTGCGGAGTATTAAGGCTAATGGATATCATCATCACAATTACCATCATCTTCATTTTCAATTGAGTGTCATTCTCATTCCATCCTTATTCTTTTTGTTATTCTTTTTAAATATTAGTTTTATAACATTTCATTTAGAATATTAATCTGATTTCAAAATTTATATTAAGCATTTCATTAATTATAAGTAAAAGAGTAGAATTATGAAAAAAGTACATAAACAAAATGATACATTAATTAATTAAAGAAGGATAAATAATTAAAATAATGACAAATGTAATTAATAAAAGATTGTGAAAAAAACCAGAATAGAAAAAACTACTCCTTGTTGATAGACCAAAAAAATCACTCTATCGGGATGGACATGGCAAATGAGGCGGTTGCGTAGGGGTGGCGGACGGTTGCACCAGGGAGGGCCGGCGATTGGGTTGGGGAGGCGATCGATTTACATGGAAGATTGGAAGAATGAAGATAAGGGCTGAGGCGCTGTGAAAATGAACAAAGACTAGTGACATTGAGCGACGAAAACAAAGGAAAAATAAGAAGTCGAACTCCTTATTTTTAAGTGGATTTTCTGTTGACCGATTTCATTCTACTTTGACTCCATTTTCTTTTTTTGCCGGGAAAATAAGGAAAATGTTTTCCGAAAATCATTTTCCCCTTTTCCTGTTAAGATCCAATTCATATTTTCGATAAAGTTAAATGGATGCAGATATGTTAATTTTAAATTCAAATTCTAACATATGTTTACCCTCCTAGTCAAGCACTTTTGCTTTTCTTTTTTTTTTTAGTATAGGAGACGAGATTAAGTCCCAAGAGTAAGATAGCGAGTAGTAATACTTGATTAGTTACAAGTTTTGATCACTACAAGAATTTACCGGATATCCAATCCAATTTTGATTTTCCCATTATTCTAATTTTCTTGTTTTGAACTAATATTTTCTTGTTTTGAGGTATACATGATGGTATGAGTTATTCCCTCTGCCTCATTTTTTATTTGATTCTTCACGATTTCTAATGTAGCATTTCAATGATTAATTTCAATCTATTTTTCTTCATAGATATATTTTATAAAAGTATACTCCATATATTTTAAAATTACATTTCAAAATTAATTGATATCTTAGAACTATAATTTCTCTGTTCTATAGTATTTATCTAATTTTGTTATTTAGTCAACTAGAGTATACCTTCGACATTCAATGAAATAAAAAAATATGTGAAATATTAATTAGATAAAATAATATTTATAAATATCATACAAGATAATTTTTAAAAAATCATTTTAGTATCGATATATAATATACATTTTATTCAATTAATGTTCAAAATTTACTTTTTTATTGTAAAAGGTTAAGAGTAAAGAAAATTCAAAAAACTTTGACTAAAAAGGTCAGATATAAAGAAAATTCTTGGAAAAAGAATATGGAGTTATGAAATTAATATTGGAGGTTTCTGCACATTCCAGAGTTAGGTGAATACGTGATGTTGTTTCTTGCATTTGACTCATTTTTTCGCATCAAACCTTTTTGGAGACTTATCTTCGAGCCAACCCAAAGCTGTACCACTTGTACCCCAAATAGTACACCATAGGTGTAACCAACACTTTACGTTAGTGTCGTGTTTTATACTTGCACAAAATGCTATTACAAAATCTTTTAATTGTACTAACATTTTGTGTCAGTAAACAATCAAGTATTAGTACACACATTCCGTGTACCCCTTGGGTTACACTCCTTCGTGTACACCAAAGATGGTTGTTTTTTTGTCACGTTAGATTTTCAACTTAGATGGTGTAGAGGGATGAAAAAGTGTTTATTCCAGGAATGATGACAAGAATCTGCCTTATTGATGTTGCTTTTTACACACAAAAAATCGCCACACATGTACAAGCCCAAAGTTTATGTGTACAAACAGCAAACAAACAAGAAAGAAAGGGAAAAAGTTATGACACAAAGAATCATCATCTCACACATATGAGTGCCGGTATGGGTGTATGTATAAGGCTGTGCAAAATCATCAAATGTATGACTGGCGAGAAAGTTTATATCCAGAAATAATGGCGGAAACCGCCATGGCAAGGAACGCCAAGAACTCCATGCCTATAGCCGACGCAGAAGAGTCTGTAAATATGTTGTCTACATTTTCTCTCATCCTATTCGTCAATGGCACCGCAGATGATGCCGCTGAAATTAACAAGTACGCCACCGCCTGCATTTCGCCCCAAATTCCAGACACAATTACATTCACAGCCAATTGTTTATCATCAACAAAGGAGAATTTGGGCAGTAATGGAAATGGGAAACAACCTGATCCCCAATAAAGTCTATCATATCCCAGTTTCTTGGAGAAGAGAACTCTGTCCCGGTAGAAAGTTCATGGATTCGCCTGAAAGTTTGCAATCCAGTATACAATGTGGATAGAACAGCAATTGCCAATACATACCTGTAATTTACCCAAATCAAAGAAATCCCATTGTCGGATTTTGTGAGTGTAATCTTCATCTGCCATCAATGGCGGCGAAATTTAAGATCTGGGCTTTACCTGTACTCCTCGTATCGGTCGAAATCCTTCCAATCGCCGTGTTTATTGCTGGCCATGATGATGAATGCGAGCGATGAGAAAAGCAGGGCGCCGCAGCGGAAGCCCAGATAAGATTTCTTGAGGAAGTCCTCTCTTTTCCACCGCCGGAGGATGCTGCCCACCCCGGTGGCCGTCCCCGCCGCCGTCTGGCTCTCGGAATCTCGGGTGGCCGCGGCTGCGCCGGGCGGCGGTGGAATCGGGGCCGGCGGAGTATCCCCGTGTTTGGGATCTGACATGATCTTCTGGGGATCAGAGTTCAACGAAACAATCAGCTGAATTACGTGACAAAGCGTACTGAAGTGAAAAAATGAAAATCGAGTTAGGGTAGAAGAATGGAAGGTGGATCATGGATGTGGGTGGCATCTGAGGTAGTTTAAGAGGACAAGAAATTGGGATGTGACTAACCAATATGAACTACTTCCTCTGTTCAACTATATTTATCCACTTTCATTTTTGCACACCATCCAATACACTTCTTTAATCCATTTTATCTTGTAATTTGTATATTAAAAAATTATAGAAATTATATATTAATAATATATATGTTAAGACAAATCAAACAAAATCACGCATGACTATATTTAGGCTTACACATTGAGAGAATTTGATGAGTCAAAGTGCTTAGATAAACAGTTCCAAAAGTCAAAAGTAGACGAATATAGCGGGACAGAGGGAGTATGATAACTCATTATGGTCCCACAAAACATACGGATTCATTTTAGAGTAGAAGAGTATTCATTTTGAAATAATATATGATATTCATTTTGAATCAATATAGTGTTTATTCTAAAACATCGTAGTCTTCATCTTCATACCTTTGTTCATTATAAGTATAATTTTTATTTACAAATAATGTAGTGTTCATTCGAAAACAATGTAGTTTTTATTCTCAAATAACGTAGTTTTCATTCTGAAGTAATATAATATTCATTTTGTATCAAACAAAATGTTCAAAGTGTTCATTTTGAATCAACTTAAAACTCATTCTGCAACCCCCACCTGGATCAATTGCAAGGGCTGAAAGCTAGGGTTCCGCCGCCATTGTTGCCATATATTGTCGTTGGGTGAGGTAGTCGCCGCTGGTATATTTGTAGGGTTGTCAAGTGGCTCACCCAGACCGCGCAATTCGTCAATCTGAGTCCCCCCCCCCCCATCTAATGCATGATTCGTCAACCTCTGCGCGATTCGTTCGTCGGGCGCTTCTCTTCGTCGCTTCCTCTTTCGCTCGCCTGATGTCGCACACCAATTATTGTCTCTTCTAAGTTCTGTTGCTAATTTTTGCCAGCTGTACCAAAAGAACCGTACAACCGGGTGTAGGATATAAATTGTGACATATATCATGACATACTTGTAATTAAAAAATGTTTCAAAATAAATACTATATTTTTTTATGAACATATACGAAGCAAGCTTCAGAATGAACATAACAGTAGCAAAATGAACATTTCGTTGATTCAAACCAAACATTATGCTGATTCAAAAAGAATATTCACCGAGTTAGGGCAGGCCGGAGGATTCTGTGGTCCTAGGCGAGACAAAAAATGAGTCTTGGCCTTACCAAATTAAATATATAAAACATTTTGTTTAAAACAACAATTACTATAAAAACAATACTCATAACAAAATTATAACATTATAATTAAGTATCGTAATAACTCCCTTAAGAAATAAAAATCTAAATTTTTTCTATTAAATATATGTATATAATATATATATATATATATATATATATATATATTTATATATATGTATGTATGTATGTATGTATGTATGTATGTATGTATGTATATAATTTGTGTAATTAGATTTATATTCCAAATATATTTGTCAAACTCACAAATCAAAAACTCTTGATTCATATTCGCATTTGATAAGGATTCAAATATTTATTTTGATTCGTATTTGTATTCGGATGTGAAAAAATCGAATACGAATCACCTCAAATGATTACGAATCACGAATCGAACAAAACATATTCGATTCATTTACAACCATATGTGTGTGTGTGTATGTATACCCACACGTTAAAAAAATTAAAAATGTTGGACCCTTTGAAAATAATGGGGGAATGTAACATTCCGAAACCTGACCTAGTATTTTTAATTAATTTATATAATTAATTAATTACTGAGCCGGTCAATACGAAGAATTATTTTCTAATTTGTGTATTTAATATGAGAGTTGACCTACGTTGTAGGGCTCGCTATTCAGAACCCGATCGCGCAAACAGATTTAAAATTGGACTTACTGGGCCCAAGATCTGACTGTCGAATAAGGTAATTGGGTTCAAACTTATCTTAATTGGTTAAGAAATATAAACTGGACCCTAAAAAACGTAACTAAGGAGTATTTAATTTTATACTCCTTCCGTCCAACAATAAAGTTCCCGTTCACTATTCACAGGGTCAAACTTTATTCACTTTGTTGGCTTATTTTTGTGTCTTATTTAATAAAATAAAATAGCCATGTCACCTCTAGTTTTGTAGATCTTTTCATGTAGTTTTTAAATATGTAATTTTTATTTTTTAATCCTATACCATTTTTCATATAAAATGATTTGAAAATAATTTCAGTCAAATATCGTAGCGCAATGGGAACTTTATTTGTGGAGTGTGGGAGTATGTATTAGAAAGAAGGGGTTTACATCTCCCAACCATCTCTCTCTCACTCCACTTCCGGTGCGTTACCTCTGCCAGTAGCCGTTCGCCGGTCCAGCAACTGCCACAGCAGCCGCCGAACCGCCAGGTGCCGCCGTCGACGAGCCGTCAGGACCCCGACGTCGCCGACAGTCGTCCGACCCTCCTCTCCCCGTCGCGCATCAGGTCCGGCGTTACCTTCTAGCAACAGCCGCAGCAGCCGCCGAGCGCCACCAGGTCGCCGACCTCCGTCCGACCAACCCTTCCCAGTTGCGCAGCAGATTCGGCCGCACCAGGGAGTGGCAGCTGCGAGTTCCTCCTCCCTCAATCCGATTTCAATTCTTCAATTTCGAGGTTATTTGTTGTCCAAATATCTATCTTTAGCGTTAATTCGTAGATTAGGATCTTGTTCTTGCAATTGATTGTTGGAATTGTTAAATTGAATGTTGAATTGGTTGTGGGTTGACCTGGGAAGGAATATCTGGCCGAACTCCGGCGAGTCATGGCGGTGGACCGCCGGAAGGGGCTGTGGACGGGTCGGTTGAGTCCAATTAATTTAATACGTAAGAACTTGTTTAGGCATTTTACATTGGTAAACTACGTAGGAGGAGAACCTCGCAGAGCTATGGTAAATGGCGTAGGATGATGTTCTCGCACAAATGAGGAGGAACCACACGTATAAGGAGTAGTGGCTACGTGAATAACCTAAGTTTAATCAAATAATTAGAAATAATTAAAAATAGTGGAATATAATAAAAGTTAGGATATGCTTGGAAGATATTGACACTATAAATAGTTAAATTCGTATAAAAGATTAAGGAGTGCTATATGCGTAATATGGAGTGACTTAGAATGCTACGTAGGGTGATTTCTTTAAAAACATGGAAGTCCTAATTTAGAATATTTTCACTATTTTAGTCATTTCTTTGCCCCAAGTTGAAGAAGGGTGAAGCCCTGGTATTCCCCGTGCTGTAAATCTAATCACATCCTTCTCGAGTAGAAGCATATCGCCAGTTACTGACACTCCTCTCTGTCACTTGTGCCGGGCAAGGGGCAACATCTCCTGGTGTTATAGTCCTCTGATTACTCTGCGTGATAAAAAAAAGTTTCTGTCAGTTTTTAAGTAGCGTGAAACAACAAGTATCCCCCCGTAGAGACGCTGCGAAAATTTCTACTACAAGTATCAGTCTTCAGGTTAAAAATTTCATCTCCCTCTCATATATTTGCATTTTCATCAGTGTACCCCAGTTCTATTTCTCATACAAATTGATGTGTTTTGAAATTTATTGATTTCTTTTTAGTATGCATTTTAGACTCTTATTCAATCCCCTTACAATCAATGGGGATTTTACTCTAGGGATTTGATTGGCAAAAAAATTGGCCCCAAAAGCTGCGTAATAATTTACAGTAAGATTATTGATCACAGATTTGCTTAGGGTGATAAGTAAAAGCAACAATGGGAAGCAGAGGAGCATTACCTTTTTCTCTGCGTCCTACCATGGTTGTGAATATTGCCTTGGCCCGCCGGAGCTACTCGACGCCGGCGAGTAGAGCACTTCCACCCCCTGATGTCCCCCGTTTGGCTGAAACGGCTCGCATTTCTCTCACTCCGTCTGAGGTATTTTTATGCATTTCGTCATCAATGTTCAGCTCCATAGGATGGTTTTCAGGAAAAGCTTATGACCCAGAGTTCATAGATTTAATGGCAAATTTATTTTCATTTTTTTTCTTTTTTCATGTTTGCAGGCTGAGGAATTTGCTCCAAAAATTCAACAAGTGATAGAGTGGTCTCCCTCTTCTCCCGCTCTACATCTAAATTAAAATTTTGCAGTCTTCACACCTATTTTTCTTTATTTTTCCCTTTTTTGAACGAATGCGTTTATCAATAAACATCAAATCTGAAAATATTACCAAATGTTGAGCTATGGGGAGCAGATTTGGAGAACTATAAACTCCTGAACTCTAAACTGAAACATTTGTGTGCTGTGGTGTCAATAGTCAAAATTATTATTTAATTCCATGATTTCCCAGCATCTATTCCCTTATGTAATCTGTTAGTTTAGCTTCATTCTTAGAGTATCTTCTTTTAAAGTAGTTTTGTCTTGTCCCCAAGCTGGCTAGCTATGTTCTGTAATGTTGCTGATGATTATCTATTTTTCAGTGGCTCTTTATGAACTAAAATTATACTTACATTGTTGTGTGTTTCTTTTCAAACTGTACAAGTTGCTTGTGTTCCTTTTTTATAGTTGTTCCTGTTGATCTGCTTTATTATTATTATTATTATTATTATTATTATTATTACTATTACAATTATTATTATTATTTTTGTTTCTTATGCAGGTTTGGTCAACTCCAAGCCGTGGATCTTCAAAGTATTGAGCCAGCTATAAGGGCAGGTACTTCAAGTGTTTAAGTATATATCTAGTCGGAGAATATGTTTTGTTGGTTATTTTATTGTATAGATGTATGTTGAAATGTACATGTTCCTCTACTTGGCATCTTTTGACATAATACTCCATAAAAATGCCTACATGTTTTTCCATTACAAGATACCGAGGGTGACAACTTGCGGGATGATACGCCCGAATGCTTTGAGAATAGGTACAAACCATATTAGTGCTTACTTTCATTGTAATAGGCAATACTATCAATGTTATTTATTGGCGCTTGCATGTAATATTTGTAATATATTACAAGAAACCTATCATATGTTTTCCTCGACAGGGAAGCCATTGTAGCTGCTGTTCCAAACTATGAGGAGCCTTACATCAATGTCCCCAAAGTGTTGAACAAGGAGTAGTTTTCTCAGAGCATCAAATCTAGAAAGGTTGTCCCACTCTCCCTAATGCTCAAGTGATTATCCACTTATCATCTCAGAGGAAAACTATGATTCCTACCTCTATAGGTATGAAAGGAAATAACAAAACCTCAAAGAGAGCATACCAGCCTTGTCACTAGGGCTGACTCCACCATGGCTACTCTAGGGATCACCTTCAATTAGATCACATCGACTATCACCGGGCTTGCTAGGGGTAACCAGTGGTGGTTCATTTTTCTTAGATGAGTGGCGATGGGATCAACATTCAGTTGGTTGTTCGCATTCTTCTTGGCATCATTTGTCCATGTCTTGACTATGTGCTAGATGAGGCTCCGAACTATTAGCTAAGGAGCTGCGCAACCTCTTTTCTTGGAACAATGACATAAAAGCTGACTTTATCGAGCTTGAGAGACCGCCCAATTGCTATGTTGGTGTTAGGCAGATGGCAGTATGGCACCCTAAGGTTCGAATGTGAACCTCCATATAAACCACAGCGATATGGAGTCTATTCTGCTAGAAGAGAATGCGAGCTCTAGTGACTTTATGAATGACTTATACCCTTTTTTCTTTCTCACATTTGTTCTCTCATTCTTACAAGTTCTATTTCTTCCTGATCCTTGTTTCATTACTCAAATAAGTCTATGGGCATCATAAGAGTCGCCCCACCTGACCTTGAGGGGAGGGCTTGTTAAGTGTAGTAGTATAATGATGGCATACTAGATTTTCATTATGCCATTAACTAAAGGTCAAGTGCGGCCGGGCTAGTGCCTATGGATCTACTTGAGTGTCTGGAACAAAGACCAAGTTGCTTGTATGAGCGAGAAGAACGTTGTGAGAGATTTATTGAGGCTGTAGTCATTTGTAAAGTTTTCCAAGCTCACAAATCCTTTTCTAGCAGTAGTGAGGATTCATATGGAGCTTCATATTTGAACCTTGACGACAAACTGCCATCTCCCCCAATTCCACTCAAGCTCTGCAACTTGATAAAATCAACATTCATGAAGCCTCTTAACTTAATTGTTATTAGCCTCATCCAACCTATGGCTTGGAGACATTCTGTCAAGAAGAATACAAACAACTAGAAAAATGTTGGTCACCTCACCCCTTGGCTAAGGATTTGTATGACTAGTGTTACCCCTAGCAAGCCGGTCAATAGGACCTGATTCGCAATGATTTGCCATTATGATGCTGTCCGACTAAACTACCAGATTGGGATCCCTTGAGATTTTGCTGTTTCCCCTTGTTCCTTGAGAAGTTGGACTCATATTCCTCCAATGAAATGATAAGTGGATGATCTTTGCCATTGCAGATGAAGGAAAATTTGACATTCATGAGAAGCTTCATATGATGATGCAACGGTCAACGATATGGATATTTTTTCAAGCAACTATCAAGGAGATTACCCAATCATCTTGTTACTTCTTCTCAAATCTGGCTCTAGTGAACTTAGACTTTAGACTTGTTTGGCAACCACAGGTTAGATGTTTGTGCCTTGGGAGTTGCCTTGTTTAGAAAGAAAAAAGAGTATTTTTTTACTGTGGGTATGTAATCAGTTGTGGACCGAAGATAGCTTTTTTTTTCTGAATCAGATCTTTGAACTATTGACTGCTCAATCCCTATTTACTAAACTGAGTCTTGTTCTTCGGACTAAAGAGCATGTTGTTTGATTAGAGTCAAACATTTCATTTACCTCACAAAGTAGTGTTTGACGAAAAATTCCGATAATCCCGTTGTTCCAGAATGCATACATACTCAATCTTATGGGCCGTTTGGTGAGCTCAAGAAATACGGGGTTTTGAAATCTCTTGATATCGGAGTTCTTCTGTTTTAAGCTTCGTTTGTTAAACCAAAATTCAAACTACGGAATTGGAATTGGGGACAATATTTCTAATTTTGCCTTTTGGTAGCACTAGATTTGGAATTGGTAGTGCCAAAAAGGAATTGGAGTTGGAGAATTTAATTACGTCCAAACCAATTCCAAAGAATTTAAACTCCCAATTCAATTCCTATTATGGCAATTTCGTGTACCAAATAGACCCTTAGGGCCCGTTTGGTCAATTTTAGAGATATGATAAGATATGAGTTATGAAATCTAAAAGAAATGATATGAGTTTGAAAATCTGAATTAAAAGTGTTTGGAGAAAACAGAAATAAACAAATTCAATTTGCCTTGTTCTCGACCACGTTATATTCCTCTTGGAAATTTAAGATATTCAATTTGCCTTGTTCATTTATGCGATTGAAATTCTCGTCCATCTAGGTTCACTTCACAAATGGAGTCTGTGCAATCAATGAAGTCGAAGAATCAGAGAAGGTGAAATTTGTGGAGGAGGAGGTCGGATTCAAGGTCTATGAAGAAGGAGGAAGAATGCGATGGAGAGGAGGATGAAGGTGATGGGCGGAGATGAGGAGGAAGGAGATGGAGAGAAAGACGAAGATGGAGATGGCCAGGAAAGAGAAGATGATACCTGGATGCCTCGCACAGCGCACAGGAGATATGGAAAAGCGGCAGTATAGAATAGAGATATGGAAAAGCGGGATGTTAAGAGATTTTGGATATCTCCAGATTTCAATTCCAAATTCTTTTTTACTCTCACCAAACATATATTTTGGGAATTCTATATTTGGGATATTGAAACCCATTTCTTTCTTTCTCACCAAACAGGCCCTTAGTGTTTAGTGAAATATAAAAAGGATTTAGTTTTGATCTTTTCGGATATCACAAATCCTCAAATGGAGGTTTTTTTATATGGAGGTTTTATATTCTTCTCAATTGTCGACCATTTCTGCCATTGACTACTACTATCATCGCCAACCACCCTCGTTTTTTACCACCATACATATCAATAATTAAAACATGATTTTAGATCTCTTCAAACAATTTATTCCAGAACCTATATAATTTCTCTTAAATTTTGAAACTCGTATCATACTTCCAAAATTCACGGTACGACCCCTACTTTAGACTTCATTTTTTGCTATGTGCACTGAATGTAATTTTCTAATGGCCAATTACATCTTTCTATATTGGATAAAGCTATTTGTACCCCAAGGATTTGTACCCCATTTTGTACACCGCAGGGATGCACTAACTTTTTGTGTTGGCGTAATGCTAATTTTTGTTAGCGCACTAACACTTTGTTTCAGTGTGAACCATCAAAATGTTGGTGCATACCTTTGGAGTACAAATGGAATACAAATTTTGAGGTACATGTAGCATGCTCCATACAGTGTTTACATTTTGCATGTACACATTTATAAGTTACTCTACTTATTTCTAAAATTTACTATCTCTGCCTCAATGTATTTTGTCCATTTTGACTTTTTTGAATCAAATTAAACGAATTTTGATTCTCAATTAAATAAAAATCATACATTTTTCGCCCCAAACGAAATTGATTGCTTTAGTTTACGATGTTTGACTGAATTTATTTTTAATTTAATTTATTTGAAAATTGAGGTGAAATTTAAAAATGAAAGTTATATATTTAAAAAATTATATCAAAAGTTCTACGACACAAGAAGTGACACGATTATATTATTTTATCAAATGAATAACAAAAATAGGTAAAGAAAGTCAATGAAGTTTGACTCTGCGAGTAGTAAACAAATACTCCGTAGTTTAAATTAAGACAAAGGGAGTAATATTTATTACTTCTTCCGTTCCAAAATATTTTCCACACTACCTAAAATAAGCAAAATTTCAAATGTTTTCAATTCATTTTATTTTAAGATTGTAGAGAAATAAAAATTAAAATTTATATATTAAACTATGTCAAAAGTTCTTCCAAATAAGAGGTAACAAAAAGATTTTATTTTATCAAATAATCATGAAAACATATAAATAAACAAAAATTTCCGTGATTTTTGAATAGAGAACTGTGTCATTTTTTAAGATGGAAGTAGTAGAAAAAACTTTTCATTAACATTTTAAAATTTTATATCATTACATTAACAAGTAATACAAATTTAAAATAATAGATGATTGAAAACTCACCACGTTTGACTAAAAATGTAAAATTATACTGATGAGTGTATTCCACCCAGAACCTCGTCCAAAACTGGTCCACAGAAACAGACCGATCAAGTTGCCAATTTGTCATGATGGATGGTTTAGCCTTAAAAGAGATCGCCGGTCATGAACGAAAAAGTTGACCGGTACGGTATGTTAACCCCACCGGTCAGGATATGTAACTCTAAGCTTATGGACTTCCGACCCTTCGGGAGAAAGGAAATAAACCCACCGGGTAGGTTACTACGATGTAGAAGTGTCGACACGAATAACTCCATGATTGTTTGGACGGTAGTGACTGGTTTTCAACGAGAGATTGGGGAAATATTCTCTCAATCTCAGTTGCGCGCTACACGCCGAAAGAGGAGTCACCAGCACAAAACGACAAGCGAATGAGACAAAATGCTACGAGACAAGAGGGAAGCCACCTCGCGACATAAGATAACATGGGTCGACGTCGATGTGCGGTGCTCTGTCCCTCCCTTTCCTTATAAATACCTGTGTAATCCTCAAAGAAAGGGATCCGAATTCCATTTCTCTTGAACTCATACTGTAATAACTCTCGGCGCTTTCTTGCATATTTAATCACAATTATACTACAGGTGCTTCCACCTACCGTCTTACCGGTCACTCGTGTTTTTCACACTTCTTTACATTCTGATTTCAGCAAACTATTCTAGACTCGGTCTAGTCCAGTTTGCCCGGTGGTTAATTTACACCCTCATGTACGAAAACACTGTAAAGCAGTGAGTATTTCTTTATACATATTTAGTGAAGAAATCAGTTCAAATAAGAGTAAAGTATACCTCGTAACATTTATTCTCAAAATATGTGTGTCATTTTTTATCACTAAAATATGAGTTTGCATTGTGAATTATGGCATTGTATATTGGCATCCACTGTACTTTTTGAAATTACTAGTTATTTTACCCGTGCCACGCACGGGTCAGACGAAATGTTTTTCGATTTTGCAATGTAGATCTTGATTTTTACCTGGCATATTATTTAAAGGTCAAATAAAAATGATCTAGGTTTTATGTATTTCTATAAATCTATATTTTTTCTCCCTGTATAAATTCAAAAATATATTAATACAAAAAGTATTAGTGATTCAATGATTTTTTTCCTCACGTTAATTTTAAAAACCTAAATTATCGACCTTATAATTATATACACCCTTTGTCCCTGAGTATTTGTCCACTTTTGACTTTTTTTTCTCAAAATTAGTAAATTTAAACCTCAAATTAAATAAAAATGATATTAGATATTGATACAAAATTAGTTTTATTTGATTTATTTATCATTCATTTTCAAAATATTATTTTATCTACTTAATATATAATTTATATTTTATTTAATTATAAGTTAAATGTTGAAAACAGTTAATCGGAAAAAGTCAAAACTGGAAAAATACTCAGGGTAGTAATTAAAAATAGGATTCTTCTCATCCATAATCTCAACTCCCCCCCCCCCCACCACAATGATTATAAAAAAATATTATTTTTTCTTGCATTCTATGATTAAAATTTTTAATTTTAAAATATTAAGAATCAATTATTCTTCTCCCCCACATTGATTTTAAAAAAAATTAATATGTTAGTGCTCCAATGATTTTGTCGTGATAGTATTCTTGTCAAGATATAAAATGTTATATCAAAATACAAATAGTTACAAATTAGAATTTAATTTTTTTTGATGTGGTTGTAACCTGTAACTGAGTTTCGAACTTATTAGCTATTGCATCTTGAATTTTCTGAACAATTTTTCTTACTTTTTTTTATTATCCTAAATCTTTATTGTCACAAAATCTTCTCACGCTTCCCTCCACACCTTCATCTTCTTTGTCACAATCCACTTTGCATAAGTCTGTATCGTCTCATAAAATATGATCCTATGAAGTTTCCATGTACGATTGCGTAAATGAAAAGGTAGGAAGTAAGTCCTCTCTCATTCAAAATTTCTTAATTTCATGTATACACATTTTGAATTGTAACACAATACAAGTATGTACTGAGTAAATCGTAAGTTACAATTAAAGATTATTTTGATGAAAATAGTAAATCAAATTACCAGTCTTATTAGTCATCTTACCATAAACAAAAGTTCTAGGTAAGATATGCATTGAGTCAATCTCATAGTATACGTATTATTAATTTAACTAAAAATAAAGTACATACTCATGACACGTATAATTTTCTTAGAAAATATAGTCTTAAGTCTTTTAGTCAACTAATTACAAATTATAAATTTTTTTGAGTAATCTCAAAATAGTCTTTTTGAATAAAGTATTTTCCAAAATCAGTGTTATTAAACATTAATTATCTATGTAGTACTTTATAGTTGAGATTTATTCACTCAGTGTCCTCCGTGTATGTTTGTTAAATGGATATTAAGTGGAGGAAATTTAGGTATTTTCAACTTTCAAATGTAGATTAATTTTTCAAAATGACCCTTTCGGATTAACCTTTTTCCAATTTAGGTCTCCGTTATAATAATTATAATTTTATCCCAATTGTGCATTTCGGGGCACCTTAATGTTTTGTGTCCCTCTATTAGCCACTCATGTTCATGCTAGTAAATTTCGAATGAGGATGATCTCGCCTCCGATACCCCACTTCATATCTATGTAG